CCCCCCGGACAACAGACGCAGGAGATACGTACCTTGCTGTCCTGTCCATCGTCCAAAGGCTCATACAGATCCACAATACTGACAAACCTGGACACACAAGAGGTCAAACAATGTTCTAGTTTTAGTAAGAGTTTTACGGCACTTTCAACACAATAAGGTCATATAAGTGCCAAAGATTAGAGGTGTTACAAGAGAGTAACAAACATAAAACAGAAGGAGAGAGATCAGGACGATAGATGTTTGATAGGAAAGAAGGAGCAAACCACAGTAAAGTACCCGCGAACCACCAACTATGAAGTTACATATTTTCCCAAGAAATTCAACAAACATGATCACACAAAGGTCCCAAAAAATTTTTCAGTTGCATATTTTTCCATGAAATTCAACAAACCAGTACACACAAAGATCAAATAAAGTTTTCGGTCACATATTTTTCCCATCAAATTCAACAAACCTGGAAACAGAAAGGCTAAGTTACAAATCTTTAAAATGAAAATTCCACAAAAAGATAAGACCATTAAGTTTCATTTAACTTACGAATCAGCTCGCATCAGCAACCATAATACTGTCAAAAACTGTATAATATGTGCAATCCATTGTCAAGGAGAACAGTGGCCGTATGATGTTTTGTTTTACTATGGTTTCACGGCACTTGCAACACAATACTGTCATATTAGTGCCGAAGATTAGAGGTGTTACAAGAGAGTAACAAATACAAAAAAGAAGGAAAGATCAGTACAATAGATGTTTGATAGGAAAGAAGGAGCAAACCACACCAGGGCGCCCGCCAACCACCCACAGTAGAAAAAGACACAGAACCAGGAAACGACACAAAAGACACAACTACAACAACAACAACAATCGGCTCACTTTTCTTCCATGCCCTTGTTTTAGTAAGAGTTTTACGTCACTTACAACACAATAAGGTCATATAAGTACCAAAGAGGTGTTGCAAAAGAGTAAGAAACACAAAAAAGGAGTGGAGATAGAGACCAGAGCACCCGCCAACCACCCATTTCCACGCCCTTGAGGAGACATACAATCAGGACACAACACAAAAGAAACAGCAACAACAATCGACTCACTTCTCTTCCACACCCTTGAGGAGAAAAAGAACCAGGACACGGACAGAGAACACAACAACGACAACAACAACAACAACAGACTCACTTCTCTTCCACGCCCTTGAGAAGGTCAAGGCCGGGCTTGAGCTCCGCCTCGGGGTTGTCTGTCTCCACGGTGGTGGCCACGATGGCCAGGTAGTAGTTCTTGGCACAGACGTTGTGTGTGGCCGACACCATGCACACGTAGATGTCTGGAACAGTTGGCTCAAGTTTTAGCAATAGTTTTTGTTTATTCTATGATGTTTGCAACACAAAACAGGTACGGTCATAGAATTTTTAATTTTTTTTTTCTAGAGGTTTTGCAGCGCTCGCAACTGTATAATAAGGTCATAAGAGCACCAAGGGGTGGATGTCAACAGAGAAGTCCTTACAGGGAATCAGAGTTACTCTGCTCGCCTCTCTGGCTTCAACAGCACAAAGTCTGCTTCGACTATCAAGGCACCCCGTAAATAACGGGTCACAAGACAGAGACAAACATACCAAGGAAGAAGAAGAAAAATGACGATAGTAAGGATGAGGAAAGAAAAAAGCAGCAGCTCCCCCTACACAGTTCAGGCACAGTATGAGCATGACATTGATAAATCAGCCCATTTACAATTCTACTGAGCATAAGAATTAATATCCTCCCTTTGGGAATGGCCTAAAGACACAGTAAGACACATCTATGGCATTTGCAACACAAATAGATACGGTCATAGAACTGCCGAAGATTAGAGGTGCTACTAAAAGAGTAGTGACATACGAAAGAAAAGGAAAGATAAAGACGATAGATGCTTTTTTTCGTTTTAGTAAGAGTTTTACAGCGCTAGCAACACAATGAGGTCATGTAAGAGCCGAAGATTAGATGTTTGTTTTAGTAGAGGTTTTACGGCGCTCCCAACTGCATAAGGTCATATGAGCGCCAGAAGATTAGAGGTGTTACAAGAGAGTAACAAACACAAAATAGAAGGAGGGGAGATATAGACAATAGATGTTTGGTAGGAAAGAAGAAGCAAACCACACCAGAACACCTGCCAACCACCCACTAGGGTTTTATTCTAAGGCGTTTACAACACAAATAGGTCATTCAAGCACCGAAGATTAGAAGTGTTGCTAGAAGAGAGTGTCAAACAAAAGAAAAGAAGGAGAGATAAGGATGATAGATGCTTGACAGCAAAGAAGGAGCACACCACTTCAGAGTATCTACCCACAGAAAAATTGTTACTGTAATTGCGTTCCCCCCCCCCCATCATCACTGCCCTTTCCCCCCTGGAGCAAGGTACAGGCCACCACAGCCCCAACCACACATCTCTTAGTTTTACTAAGTTCTACGGCACTTACAACACAAATAAATCATATAAGTGTTAAAGATCAAAACTGTTGCTAGACAGTAACATACACGTAAAAAAGAAAGAGAAGAGATAAAAATGATAGAAATTTTAATCAAAAAGAAAATAAGAAGAGAGACATAGGGACGATAGATTTTTTATAGGAAAGGAAGAGAGGTAAGGACAATAAGGTCGTACAAGTGCCAACCACCCAAGCCCGCATCTCTCCCCGGCTAGCGAGCGAGCAAAGCCGACAGACTCACCATCCTTCCTGCCCACTTGATTCTGGGGAATGATGATCTGCACCGACTGGGCGTCTTTGGTGTTCTCTATGGGGTGGTTCAAGATGCAGATGGCACGCACCACCTGAGGACGGGGGAGACACACACATGAAAAATGTTACGTTTTTTTTCTGTTTCTGTTCAGAGAGTCTTATAAAGTAGGATTTTTGAGAGCATCCGAGCAGAGAAAAAATAATAATAATAATAGCAATAACAATAATAATAATAATGATAGACTGCATCTATAAAACACTCTATCCCATCAAACTACTAGAGAGTAATATAGAGTTGTTGTTAGCGATCCAGTAGCATCTGAGCGTTAACTCTTCTGCATGATGCCATTCGGTAATAGCTGCATGTCTGTTCTAATTGTTGTTTTGAGGAGTAGAGGCAGTTAGATGTGTGGGGTAGCTTGGGAAGAAAACATCCCCTTTAATCAGTTAGTTTTCTACAGAAGAATAGATGATGTTCCACTGTCTCTGAGGGGTAGTCACATAGTGGGCAGGCAGTAGAGTGCTTTACTCCAATTCGGTTGAGATGTTGGTTGAGGGGTACATGTTGTGTTCTAAGTTGGAAGATTATGGATTGATCTCCCCTCCTCAACTCATTGATGGGATCTTTGACCAGTGGTTTATTCATGTGGCCATACATCCTCCTTCCTGTCGTACCTGTGGCCCAATCATTCATCCACTCTTCCTTGAGGTTTGACTTGATCATTTGGCAGCAGGTGGTGTAATTCGTAGGAATTTCAGGCTGAGGGAGGCTAGCTCCTTTCTTTGCCAGAGCATCAGCTCTTTCATTTCCTGGTATCCCAGTGTGGGCAGGAATCCATTGTAGGACTACTCTGGCGTGGTGCCTACTTATCAAATTATGTAGACTCCAAATCAAGTGCAATATATCTTTGTTCACATCAGTCCCACTCTCAAGGGTCTCTAGTGTTGGAAGGCTGTCTGTAAAGATAACGATGTCTGTGGTAGCAAGTGGGTTAGTGTCAAACAGGTAGTTGATGTAGTTTGCTGTGTTGGTGACAGCCTGTTGTTCGGCAATGAAATTGGAGCAGAAGGACCCGCTGGAGTTAAAGACTTCTTTTTTTATCCCACTGGGCAAGTTGATCACTGACCCATATCCAGTGTTGATTGTTGCCTTAAAGTAACTTAATATATTGCCAGTACCACCAAGCACTAGGACAGACAAAGAAATATTGTTCAGGGGTTGTTATTGTTGTTGTATTTGTTTTCAAACTTCTTTAGCTGCAAGCATTTCGCTCTTGGCAGCACAATGCCTCCCTGAAGTAACCACATGTAGCAATGACCACGAAAAACCTTTTTTTTTGTCAGAAAGTGTTTGCAAATAGGTGCATTTTGTAGCTTTATCTTCACCGAGCATGGGACTTTTTGAATTTTTGAAATCCATCAATAAACAAAAAGGTTACGAATTTTTTAATTAATTAATTTTTGGTACACTTTTATATAATGAAAAAAACCCCCAAAAAAGGAAAGTTCTTTGATGAGTTTTGAGACAATATTCGTCATAATTCGCTCATTTATCGGAGTATTTAAATGAAACTTGGCATCCCAGTACATTTTCTAGTGCAGAATCTAGTCCTGCTTTCAGATTTTTCATAGCTATCCTACTTTTTGAGTTATGAAGACGTTTATAGGTAAACAATGTGGCGGTTGTCTGTGCATTTTGAGACAATATTTGTCATAACTCTCCTATTTCTTGGAGTATGTAAATGAAACTTGGCAGTCTAGAACAGTTTTTCATGCAGAATCTAGTCATGCTGTCAGATTTTTAATATCTATCATACTTTTTGAGTGTAAAGACATTAACAGGTAAAAAAGTGGCGTTCTTTACAGATTTACAAAGACTATCAGTCATATCTTATCCCAAAGTCATGATATTTGAATGAAACTTGGCAACATAAAAGGTTCCTCCTTGCCAAGCAATGCTCTGGATCAATTTGTCACAAAAATGTAAGTAGAGAACTGGATTTATTAGTCTAATAAATCCAGTTCTCTATTAGTAAAAGCATGCATACTTTGTAACAGAAAATAAGATCTTCTCTGTGTATATCCATTGTTGGACAGTGTCCTTTTGTGTGGTAGATTAAGATGCGCTTAGATAATATAGTTTACAAGTCATGGGAATATTTCGCATGTGTAGGCTACAACTCATACTATAAATGTAACATATTTACACCACCCGTCCTTCTCTCTCTCTGTCTCTCACGCACGCACGCGCACACACACACACACACACATGCACGCGCGTGCACTCACGCGTGAACGATAACAAGGTATAAACGGGACTATCTTCAAACACTGGACTAAATAAGTACCATACTCTTCAATAACAATCTTAATGCCTCACTTTTCCAAACAGAGCACACAGGATGAATCCAAGTGTGTGCTTTCCCAAGAGGGGGGAATAGGTTTTCATAACGCAAACACAATGCCATACCACTTCTCAAGATGGTTGCTTTTCTGTTTCTATTCTTCTGTCATGCAATCAAGCAAATAAAAATGACATCTATTGTATTGTGACTAAAATGCAACAAAGTTATCAAGGCCCCCGTTTAGTTTTCAAGTATCCTTCCCCCCCTTTCCGGTTCACATAAGCCGGGCCTCGTTTGTAGCGCCCGAGGCGGCCGATGGTTGATGACGTCACTCAGTGGAAATTTCCCAGCCGCCGGTCGTTCACCCAGCACGCGCAAATGGCAATGTCGTTTTTCCCTTAGTTACTCCCACATTTTTAAAGATTACGCAAAAACCACTAAACACAGAAGCTTGAAATTTTACGGGAATAAAGGAAAAAGGTGTACAACGTATCAGTCAGTTTGACAAATCACAGCTCCGAAAAATCTTCAAAGCGCACCACATCAACCACTTTCGCAAACGTTTTCGACTGCTTCTAGGATGGGTACAATGTTGTCAAACTGCATACTACGAGATTGACCTCTCTTCTGATTGGCTGCCAAGTTTCATTCATATCCATTCACCAGAAGCGGCGTGAGAGCGAGTTGAAGACAACAACCTTTGCGTTAGTGCGTCCCATGAAACACCCCCGCAGCGGGGGCCAAAAATCGGCAGAACAAAACGCGCTCGGTGGGCATTGCTACCACATGTCTTTGTCATCTGGTCAGCGCCAGAGTAGAGCAGGCTTTGTAAGTCTGTAGGTGTGTGTAGGAGCCTGCGTCGAAGAACTGCCAGGTTTGGGCAGTGAAGGAGAAGATGTTCAACGGTCTCCTCGTGGTAGTCACAGTGTCTGTAATGGGGTTCCCCCATGGGGTTAATTCTATTTATGTGCTTTTTGGTGTGTAAGTGTCCTGTGCGCGCCCTGAAGATCAAAGTCTGATCAGCTCCACATAAGTGTTCAGGGGTTAGGAGGAGCAAACATGATAACCACCACGTGTCACATGGATGACAAAGGAACAAAACTATACTAAAATAGAAAAACAATAAAAAAAAAAACAACCAAACACAGCCCATTAAGAGCTAAAACACAATCAAACTGAAAAGACAAATGGCTGCATGTTGCTAGGTACCCATTCCCATCCAACCGAAGTACGGAAAATTCAGATAAAGTGCCTTTTTGGTTACGAGTTTAGGGGCCTATCCACTAAACCGTTGACACCAGAAATACATGCAACACCTTCATTCACACTGTACACGTTTTACGGAGCAGGTGTTTCAGCACGTGAGACATGTATTTACTAATGTCCTGTCTTGTGTGTATGCGTGAGTGCACCTAACCTTTGTAACATCTACTGCCATTGTAAACGACCAAGACAAATTTCTCCCTGCGAGATGAATGAAGATTTGTCATTGTCACAATATATGAAGACCTGTCAGAAGTATGGCAGATACTGTCATTGACGACATGAAATACGTGCCGAGCTGCCACAAAAACAGCCGTGGGTACCCACCTGTCCGACCTTCTTGCAGCGGTCCTGGGCGTAGGTGGGATCACAGACTATAACGCTACACTTGGCCGTGTCCTTGCCGTCCGACACACCGACCACGTGTCCGTCCTCCATCACGATCTTGTCGACGGGCTTGTCCAGCATGTAGGTGCCGCCGTAGATGGCACTCAGTCTGTCACACACATACAATGGATTGTCATTTCATTATATCATTGATTATTATTATTATTATTATAGTAGACGGTTGCAACTGCATAAGGTCATATGAGCGCCAAGGGGTGGGTGTCAACAGAGAAGTCTTTACAGGGAATCAGACTTAGACTG